CATTTTACAATTACAATTTAAATCAGTTTATTGAAAACATTTTAAAATATTTATTTATATCCTTTTGAACAGAAAAACTGTCAACATCTTGAGGTAATATTATATAAGGGCTTAAAGAAGTTAAAATCCTTATAGCAAGGATGACATGACTTTTTCCATGCACACCCAATTAATATGAGACGGGCGTATCATGTGCCGTGGCGGTGCACTTTATTTTATTTATGCCTTACCAGTTTCGAAGAGTCTAGCAAGAGACGATTCTCTAAACACACGGGAATCATGGACACTACCCGGCCATTTTGCAACGCAGTTTACAAATCTAAACGAGGCATCACAGGCCATCTGAAAGAAAGTAATATTAACGATTCTTTTCCGTCAGTTTTCTTTTTTTTTGGGGGGGGGGTATAAATTGGTGCTTGATATCTAAGCACCCCTCCCCTTAAGGAGGCTCATTACACCACTTTTTGATGACGTACTACACAAAAATATAAACTTCCATTATGTAGACCGGTTCGCTCAGGGGGCGAGTTGTATAGGTATCTCTAAAATATGACCCTGACCTTTAAAACGCTTTAAAGATAGATGAAACATGCGGTGTTGTAAACAGTGAAAACAAAGTAACGGATTCATTATGCATAAACCAAGAAGTATTGCTTTTAGGCAGAAACAAAAGAAATCAACAGTCAAATCTTCGCCAAACAAGTAATGTCAATTTCATAGCAATGCATGTAGTGCACTATTAATCACTGTCATGTATGTATGGAGGAAATTCGAGTTAAAATCTACAACCTTGTTGGAATTAAAATATTATTTAATTGCGCTATTCACTGTGTTGGTGTTAATTTATATATTTGTTTTACTGATTTAAATGTATACTCTGGCAATTTAAAGCTATATTCTGAATTTTAGATGTAAATATCAAACGTTCCATAGTGTTTTGAGTCCTGGGTAATTAGGAAAGATAACTCTTGAAAGTGGACTTTCTATACCAAATATTTTTTTAAATTGGATTTTTCATTTCGTTTAAACTTTCTTCATTCAATTTGACACATGTAATTCATTGAAATACATTCATTGTCTCTTCAGAACACATTTTTAAAATGTTTTATGCATAGATTAAAAAGATAATGACATTAATTGTTTTCAATGAAAAAATCATTTTTTCTAATAAAATTATTATTAGGTATTATGAGGTATTTTCACTGTATGTACTTGTCTTAAGAAGATGCCCATCATTTGACACTGAAAGTTATGAAATTCTGTGAATAATAAACCTGAAATAAAACATTTCACAAAGATAAAACAAAAACTAAAAAATTCTATTAAAAATATTTATGAAATCAATACCCCCATCTGGATATTTGACATCTACATTATAAGTGGTGCTGTATTGAAATCTAAAATAAACTGTGGATGTAATGAGCCACCTTAAGGCTTATTACACGATACAAAGTGATGTGTACATTTGTGACATGTGATCACGGGCGTTCTTTTTTTCAACTTTATTATATAGAAATTTAAAATCAAAAGTAATTTATTTAACAGTAAATAATTCCTTAATGCAAGGTATTAATTATTACCTGAACGTTAATCGCATAGTAGCCCTTTCTACATACAAACTCTGCCTCATTCTGTTTGGGACACTGGATTCTAATCAGTGTTCCATCAACACAGCATACCAAATTTGGAAAACCTTCAGAGAGAGAGAGAGAAAAAAAAAATAAGCTTTTATCTCATAAATCATTTATATTGTAATTTATAGGAAAATAATTAAGTCCGATTTCTCGAAAGCAAAAAAAAAAAAAAGGAAATGTCTATTTCCCAAACACGAAAATCCTACTTCGTGATGGGGGGGGGGGGGGGTCGAACTCCAGGACCAAAAATTTTCTTCCAAACACCAACACTTTTCCCAAATTTAACCTATACTAAGACGTATCTGTGGAAAGTGGGGGGGGGGCTAAACTTACGAAGATATGTTCAATGTCTATACAAAGTATATATTTGGAAAAATAAGGGGGGTAAGCCCCCCCCCCCCCCCCCCTGGTTCCTACGCCTATGCTGGCAAATTCTGCGGTTTGATAGTAAATTGTTTTTTTCTTTGTTTGTCATTGGGGAGGGAGATTGACTCCTTTTGAATACCTTGCTCCGGGCCTGTAATAATTATCGACCGCATGCCGGTCTATTTGTTTTTGTGTTAAAATTGTTAGAAAGTGGACATTTTAATAAACAAATAAGCACAAACACAAAAAAAATAGTTATATTAAATATAATTTCATGCATAAAGATAGTGTCAAAAGAGTGTGTAAGAGGTTAAGTTACATGTACCGGCGGGATTCTGCATGAATTACATTACGACTTATTGAATTTGCTTCAATATTTAATTTTGTAAAGGTTTTTATGCCCCGCCATGAATATGGCCGGGGCATATAGTGTTTGTCATGTCCGTCCTTCCGTCTTTCCGTCCTTCTGTCCTTCTGTCCTTCCGTCACACTTTGCGTTTAGCTCTGCTCAAAGCTAAGTTTCAAAGAAACCATCCAAGATATTTTCATCAAACTTCATATGCTGATAGATATTGATGAGAGCTATGCAACTGCATCAACATTTTTTGACCTTGACCTTTCCTTTGACCTTGACCTCACTTTTGTTAAATTAGTGTTTAGCTCAGTTTTAAACATACCATTCAAGATGGATTTATCAAACTTCACATGTTGATACAAACTTGCATGGATGATGCATCTTGGGATGAACACTACCAGACTTGCTTCAGATGCTGGATCTGACCTATATTTTCATTCCCAAGTAACTATAAGCCCTACCTGAACCAAACTTGCATTGATGATGCATCTAGGGATGGACACTACCAGAATTGCTTCGGATGCTGGATCTGACCTATATTTTCATTCCCAAGTAACTATAAGTCCTACCCGAACCAAACTTGCATGGATGATGCATCTAGGGATGGACACTACCAGACTTGCTTCGGATGCTGGATCTGACCTATATTTTCATTCCCAAGTAACTATAAGTCCTGCCCGAACTAAACTTGCATGGATGATGCATCTAGGGATGGACACTACCAGACTTGCTTCGGATGCTGGATCTAACCTATATTTTCATTCCCAAGTAACTATAAGTCCTACCTGAACCAAACTTGCATGGATGATGCATCTAGGGATGGACACTACCAGACTTGCTTCGGATGCTGGATCTGACCTATATTTTTATTCCCAAGTAACTATAAGTCATGCCCGAACTAAACTTGCATGGATGATTCATCTAGGGATGGACACTACCAGACTTGCTTCGGATGCTGGATCTGACCTATATTTTCATTCCCAAGTAACTATAAGCCCTACCTGAACCAAACTTGCATTGATGATGCATCTAGGGATGGACACTACCAGAATTGCTTCAGATGCTGGATCTGACCTATATTTTCATTCCCAAGTAACTATAAGCCCTACATGAACCAAACTTGCATTGATGATGCATCTAGGGATGGACACTACCAGAATTGCTTCGGATGCTGGATCTGACCTATATTTTTATTCCCAAGTAACTATAAGTCCTACCCGAACCAAACTTGCATGGATGATGCATCTAGGGATGGACACTACCAGACTTGCTTCGGATGCTGGATCTGACCTATATTTTCATTCCCAAGTAACTATAAGTCCTGCCCGAACCAAACTTGCATGGATGATGCATCTAGGGATGGACACTACCAGACTTGCTTCGGATGCTGGATCTGACCTATATTTTCATTCCCAAGTAACTATAAGTCCTGCCCGAACTAAACTTGCATGGATGATGCATCTAGGGATGGACACTACCAGACTTGCTTCGGATGCTGGATCTAACCTATATTTTCATTCCCAAGTAACTATAAGTCCTACCTGAACCAAACTTGCATGGATGATGCATCTAGGGATGGACACTACCAGACTTGCTTCGGATGCTGGATCTGACCTATATTTTTATTCCCAAGTAACTATAAGTCATGCCCGAACTAAACTTGCATGGATGATTCATCTAGGGATGGACACTACCAGACTTGCTTCGGATGCTGGATCTGACCTATATTTTCCAAACAAGCAATTCAGCTGCATCACTATTCAAGATATTCTGATCAAATTTTATACACATACAAATTTTCATGTTGCTTTACTAATACATCCTCGGCGGGGCATTCATGTCCTATGGACATATTTCTAGTTCCAAATAAAATTGATTTCAAAAAAATATATATTATAAGAATTATGGAAGTATCGCGCCATTGGCACGCCTTACTTTGAGGAAAAAAATAAACGAGTTATCTCCCTTGTGTTTACTACAAGTTAAGTCGTGTACTCTCGTTGAATGGGGAGAAAGGTGGTCGTATTGTTTTATTTACTGTTGTTATTTGGATATTGTATATGCAACTTACCTGCCAACTGATAAAATTTGGTCCGAATTCGCGGAAAATCATTCTGAGAGGGAAACTTGATGAATTGTGGTGTAAGCGCACTTAACAGGGAAGTAACCGCTCGAACTGCCCGTCCTACAGCCGATTTAGAAACAGAGAGGGAATCGCCGATGAGCTGATAGAAAGATCCTGTTGCAAAGAAGCGCAAAGCAACTAGAACTTGCAACAGGGGTGGTAAGGGACAGCTTCTCTGTGTCTGGTGGGCAAGGCCTTCAGCTATCAACCCGCAGATATAAAATATCGTGGCGGATCTAAATCGGTACCGCTGAAAAATTTCATCCTCAGACAGTGATTCCATTGGATTGGTTCTGTCGTGTACAATTCGTCTTGGAATTCTCATAATATTCCATAGGAGCACTCTTCTGGCGGCCATTTCGGACTTGAGTTGATGTCTGAGACAGCTTTTTACTAGACTCAGCATTTTTGAGAAAAACTCAAGAAAAAAACTCTGAGTAAGACTCTAGTTTCGTGGCACACTTTATTGAGTTCAACTCAGCGAGTTGAGAAAAAAACTCAGATTTGAGTAAAATACAGCCCTTGAGTTTGACTCAAGACGTTCGTGGCCCCGAGGCCTTGAATATAGAGATGAACAGTTTGTCAGCGCAACTTCTCATAAAACGCTGCACAGAATTTCGTCAAACTTTGCAGGCATTTAGGACACAATGTGTAGATGTACATATTAGCAGGAAATTCCGATTCCATTTTTTTTTTCCGGGAATTTCTGTACTTTTAACTTGGGCATTTGGCCATACCTTGAAAACAGAGATGAACAGTTTGTCAGCGCAACTCCTCATAAACCGCTGAACAGAATTTCGTTAAACTTTGCAGATATTTAGGACACAATGTGTAGATGTGCATATTACCAGGAAATTCCGATTCCATTATTTTTTCCCGGAATTTCCACACTTTCCAACTTGACTTTTTGGCCATATTTTAAATATAGAGACAGTTTGTCAGCACCACTCCTCTTAAACTGTTTTACATAGTTTCGTCAACATATGCTGATATTTAGATCATATTCCATTATTTTATCCAAAAGAGTATTTGTATATTGTATTTGTATACATAGAGATTTGTATATTGTCAAGAAATTTTGATTCTATTATTTATCTAGAAACTTCATTCCACATTTAAATGTCCTCATATGCAAGACATTTTGATGAGAAGATTTTTTGCAATTATTGCCCTTTTTGATCTTTACTATGTATTTAAAGTGCACTGTGCCTTTCATTATGTGTTTCACCGTCAAGTTATGGGGGAGCGTGGGGTATGTGAGCTAGCCCACTTTTTCTTTCATTATGTTCTAATTCGAACAATCTCAACCGAACATAAAATATTTATACCCTCATTCAAAAATCAAAACATAACACCTGTATTATGGGTAGCAGCTCCAAGACCTGCGCATTTAATTGACGACATTGCTCAACATTTAATAAAGTGCTTCAATAACATTCACAAACACATCAACACAAGAAATAGCTTACGGGAGGGAGGGGGGCGAATTGTGACTGAAATGCACGCAGTCTTGAGCTCGAATGACAAAACACAAGGAACACACCTTTATAAACATTACCAGCTAACCGGTCATACAGGTATTCCTACTCACTCAGGTAAAAATAGAATAGCGTGTTTGAAAAGGAATCGTACGATTCTAATTTTAGATTTATTTCAACCTGTTATAAATATATTTATAGACTGAAGTGTGAGCAGAGCTGAGTGTGTGTATACTGTAATTGTATACTGTTCAAGAAGGAGCCATGCAACCACTTCAAGGAAGACCTGCTTATTCATGAGCTACAGAAATATATTTCAATCACCATGAAACTATTTTAAAAGAATGAAGAAGTATAATAATAAGAAGCACCAACAGTAATATTATACACGTATAATACACATGTACAGTATAACATATATAAAACACGTGTTTTATATGTAGAAATATACTATGTGTTGATTTTTACACATGTTTAAAACATGTAAAACGTATGTTTAACGTGTGTAAAAATAAACAC